AGAGAGAGAGAGAGAGAGAGAGAGAGAGAGAGAGAGAGAGAGAGAGAGGAGAGATGTGTTTCCAGCTATTTCTCCCCATTGCTCCCCAAATCCTGAATTGTCCCTCTTAAGCATTCCACTTAAAAAATTCCCCCAAAAGGAAGGCTTGCTCGAAAATTCTCTCTCAATTCCTTTTCAAAAACCCGGATGGCGTTTTCGCATCGAACAGCGTCACCAACAAACAGGGACCATCTGAGATCCAAAGCCCGCCTCTGAGCAGAGCGGGAATCGATTACGGAAATGCCAATTTTTCTGGAAAGGAGAATTTCTAGAGGACGAGGAGGAGGAAGCCCAAAGACTCACTGTGACGTAGCAGTGCGATTTGATCTTGTCGATCCAAAACGCCTCTTCCACCAGGGTGCCCGTCCGGCCCAGCAGCTCCTTTAGTTGCCCCAGGGTGAAGGGCCTCACCTATACGCGTTGAAAAACATCCGAAGATTAAGAAAGGCTCCCGATAGCAATAACACTTAGACTTAACCCTGTTTTCCCAAAAATAAACCCTAGCATGATTTTTTTACAGGATACTTGTAATATAAGCCCTACCCCAAAAATGAGCCTGTTAAGATCATCAGCCAGACTGGGGGTCAGCAACCTGCGGCTCCGGAGCCGCATGTGGATCTTTCATCCCTCTGCTGCAGCTCCCTATTGCTCAAAATATGCTTGGAATATAAGCCCTATCCCAACAATAAGCCTGTTAAAATCATCAGTGAGACCAGGAATCAGCAACCTGTGGCTCCGGAGCCGCATGTGGCTCTTTCACCCCTCTGCTGCAGCTCTCTACTGCTCAAAATATGTTTGGAATATAAGCCCTATTCCAACAATAAGCCTGTTAAAATCATCACTCAGACCAGGAATCAGCAACCTGCGGCTCCGGAGCTGCATGTGGCTCTTTGATCCCTCTGCTGCGGCTCCCTGTTGCTCAAAATATGCCTCACAATCACCAATGTGCGACACCCATGGCAGGCAATTTATTGAGCTTTTCGACTCCCCCAGTAGGCCAACCATGGATAAATCCAAGAAAAGTTTCAGAAGAAAACAGAATGTTTAATTCAACTACATATGCTAGTTTTGTGGCCGCTCAGGAACTACCATATTTTTCGGAGTATAAGACGCACCTTTTTCCCTCAAAAAGGAGGCTGAAAATCTGGGTGTGTCTTATACACTGACCACAGCATTTTTTGTCTCTTGAAACCCCACCCCTTCACCAAAATGGCCGTGCATAACTTGTAGGAAGCTTTTAGAGAGCTCCTGGGGGCCGAGGGGGACAGAAATGAGTGAAAAAGCCCGGTTTTTGTTCAATTTTAACCCCCCCAGCTCCCAGGAGCACTCTATAAGCTTCCTAAAAGCTATCCATGCCCTTTTTTATACTCGTTTTTAGGGCCCACATCCACCCAGGAGCACTCTGCAAGCCCCCTAAAGGTTATTCATGCCTTTGGGGGGACTCGTTTTTAGGGCCCACATCCACCCCGGAGCACTCTGCAAGCCCCCTAAAGGTTATTCATGCCTTTGGGGGGGGGGGAAACGGCTGTTTTTGGGAGGTTTGCAGAGTGAAAAAACTTTTTTTTAATTTGCCTCTTCAAAACCTTGATGCGTCTTATACTCTGGTGTGTCTTATACTCTGAAAAATATGGTATATGTGTGTGGGTGTAATGGGGAGGATAATATACAAGGAGAGCCAACTTTGCATATCTAACGATGTTGCTGTCCAGGAAGATGGAGATATAAATAATTTCACTTCCTACTATATTTCTATGCTTATGGCTTNCACAATTGATAGGGCTTTCGGTTAGGACAGGTAGAGGAAAAAGGATGCTCCGCTGGAGGGAGACTCTATGGTGGGGGAACCGGACTTCCGATTGGCTCCAGAATTGAACAGGGAGCTTCCAGTTAGGACTTTTGTGGCTCTTTTTGAGTGTTTTAAGATTGCCGACTCCTGGTTACACGAGGCCCCCAGTGACGTTATCCCTACATTCACAGCAGAAAACCCACAAAGTGCTTTCCCCAAAAGCAACTGGAGTTTTCTTGGTTCTTCCTGGAAAACATTTTGCTTCTCCTCCAAGAAGCAGCTTTCTGAAGAACAGAGGAATCTTCTGGGAGGAGAAGGGAAACATTTTCGGGGCGGGGGGGTGAGAAGAAAAGCAGCTCTAGGACAACGATGGCCTGGGTGATGACGAATCTCCATGGACGTTCGTAGCGTCAAACTTAAAAGTTGGACCTCCAACTAGGCGACCATGAATTTTAGGGATGATGGGGGGGCTGCCCGCCCCAAGCTTCCCTCTAGCTCGGAAGAGGCAAATTTATTTAATTTATATTCTGCCTTTATTATTTTTATAAACAACTCAAGGTGGCAAATATATTTAACAAGGTTTCCTCCTCCTGTTTTCCCAACAATAACGCTGTGAGGTGGGACTGGCCCATAGTCACCCAGACGAGTTTTCATGCCTAAGGCAGGACTAGAACTCCCAGTCTCCTGGTAATTAGACCAAAGTCACCCAGCCAAGTTTTCAAGCCTAAAGCGGGACAAGAACTCCCAGTCTCCTCGTGATTGGCCCAGTCACCCAGCTGGCTTTCATGGCTAGGGCGGGATTAGAACTCCCCGTCTCCTGGTGATTGGCCCAAGGTAACCTAGTCGGCATTCGTGACTAAGGTGAGATTAGAACTCATCTCTCTCTCTCCTGTTACCTTTCTTCTCTGCTTTCTTCTCCTTCGATTTAGGCCGCTCCTTGCGGCGTCTCTCTCGGGACCGGGAGCGAGAGCGGGGGCCCTCGCGCACTTTGTCCCGATCCCATTCCCGCTCCGCCAGGGTCCTCTCCCGGCGCTCCATCTCTCGCTCCCGTTCGGCCCACTGCTCCCGCACAGCTGCTTCCCGCTCCCGTGCCTCTGAGCGCCGGGACAGCTCCCGTTCCCCTCGTGTGGTGGGGCCCACCCCGGGGAAGGTGGGCGCTTCGTCCGCCTTGGCCTCGGCGGGACGTTCGGCCAGAAGACCGCGATGGAAATCCAGCTGAGGAAGAGACTCAGGTAAGCAGGTGGAAGCTCTCTCGAGATACAAAATCATACTCGCGAGTAAGGTAAGAAACATTATCTTATGGCGGTAATGTACAGGTAGTTCTCGACTTACGACCAGTAAACGAATCCCATCCCCGCTCCCCCGCCCCGGGATTCTAAAATGTTTGATTGCTAAGCGAGTTCGTTCCTAGGTAGAGGCAGATATTTCTCCCTCTGGGCATGTTGAGAATATATTTCTGCTGAATATAACTCCGCATTGGCAACAGGAAAGGCATCGGGCCACTCAGCTCCATTCAGTTGCCCAGATTCCATCCCGCAAGGGATTATGGGGTTGTTAAAAGAAGATGATTTAATGAAGCTTTAACGGGACTGAAAAAAGGGACTTGTGACCGTTGCATCTCCCGTGGTCACATGATCCAAATTCAGACGCTTGGCAACTGACTCATATTTATGATGGTTGCAGTGTCCTGGAGTCACGGGATCCCCTTTTGTCAAGTGATGTCAATGGGGAAGCCAGAGTCACTCAACATCTGGGTTAACAACTGCAGTGATTCATTAACCGCAAAAGTCCGTAAAATGGAGCAAAACTCACTTAATGACTGTCTTGCTTAGCCACAGAAATTTTGGGCTCAATTGCGGTTGTAAGTTGGGGACTACCTAGAACAGTTGTTAAGTGAATCCGGATTCCCCTTTGATTTTGCTTCTTAGGTGGTCACAAAAGGGGAATCGCGTGACTCCAGGACGCTGCAACCGTCATAAATGCGAGTCTTCTAGAAGCGTCTTCTAAAAAAACCCATCGTTTTTGGAGCATATATTTCTGTTTCACTTTCTTGCACCAAACTCCTGTGCACCGGGGGACGGGAATTCCCCCCTCCACCCATCCCATGTCTTTGTCCCCCGTTTGGGCTCCGTACCTCATTCTGCTCCACGAAATCAGCGGATAAAAACTTGGGGTTAGACTGGGGCCACTTGACCCCGTGGAGGGCGTTTCGTGTCGCGACGGCTTCTTCCACTGTCGAATACTGAAAGGCAAAAATTGGGGGAAGAGATAAAGAGACAGAGATGGGGAGAGAGACAGAACGAGAGGGGAGAGAAAAAGAATAGAGGAGAAAGAGGGGAGAAAAAAAAACAGGGGAGAGAAAGAGAGGGGAGAGAGAGAGAGGGAGGGGGGGAGAGAGAAAGGGAGCCGGGGTGGAGAGAAGAAAGAGGAGAGGGAGAAAGAGGAGAGAGAAAAAGAGAATGAGAGTCAGAGGGGAGAAAAAAAAACAGGGGAGAGAAAGGGAGGGGAGAGAGAGAGAGGGAGGGGGGGAGAGAGAAAGGGAGCCGGGGTGGAGAGAAGAAAGAGGAGGGGGGGAAAGAGGAGAGAGAAAAAGAGAATGAGAGTCAGAGGGGAGAAAAAAAAACAGGGGAGAGAAAGAGAGGGGAGAGAGAGAGAGGGAGGGGGGGAGAGAGAAAGGGAGCCGGGGTGGA